TCGCGATAGTGTCACTGTTAATTTAAGTTCTGCCACAATTTCCATCTAGATTTACTACCTTTATACAACTATCAGTAGTAGAATAAATAATAAATAACATAAAATAAGCTCCGTAAAGACTGACAAATCCACAAAATTTCAAATCAAATTCAAATGTGTCAAATGAATCGTCAAACAGAACTGTCAAGGATCCCCACCCTAGAGTGCTTTTTCCGCCCACCATGCATGAATACATGAATAGAGTAAACGCCACGAATGTTTGGGAGTGATTTGGGAGTGACACGCGCGCTATCATTTTTACATTAAAAACGTAAATTTTTACCGCAGACGTAGGTTTTTAAAGCCCGGTCTAATCATCTGCCTGCGCTCCTCCTACTTATTCTAAAATGTTAGCGTGATTGACAAAGACGATACTATATCGCGTTTCTTTGATTGATTCGTTTTTGTGCGTCAGTCCATAGGTGTGCTTGCAGTGCGACCAATGGGGCATTCCATTTTATATTTATAACCAAATATATGTTTTGACAAGCCTTTGGCAGTTAAAACAACAAATTACAACAGATTATATATTGATTATTATATGACTTGAAACACCACGGCACTGGAATTAAGTTTTATGTGACCTTGAACAGATTAGTTCACATTGGAGCGACCGATGAATCACTCCCAAACATTCGTGGCGTTTACTATAGCATTATGCTCCTTCCTGGTAGGGAAGACCAAAGCGCATCTCTGTTCACAGAGTCGAAGGCTTTTGTTAGATCGATGAATGCAACATAAAGTTTAGACTGCTGCTCTTTTACTTTTTCCTGTAGTTGACGGATGGAAAATATGGAATCGACGGTGCCGCGGTTGGTACGAAAACCCGTTTACGATTCTGGAAGAATTTTTTCTATATGTGGGTGCAGGCGGTTTGACATTATTTTTGCAAGAATTTTTCCGCCGATAGCCAATAGCGAAATTCCCCGGTAATTTCCGCAGTCTGATGCACTTCCTTTGTTCTTAAATATATTCTGGGTATCACAGAACTTCAATACGCTGACGACTGCGCTCTAGTTGCAAACACGGTACAACAATTACAAGAAATGTTGAACACATATACCTGGGCATACGAGGCTTTGGGCCTTAAGCTGAACATCGGCAAAACTAAAATCATGTGCACTCCCCCGGAAGATCACAACAATGCTATAAAAATCGGAGAAGAACTATTCGAATATGTGGCGGAATTCAATTACCTTGGCAGTTTGATTTCGGAAAAGGCCAATATTGACTCTGAAATTCAGCACAGGATTAGTAGCGCCTCAAGAGCATTCTGGAAATTAAAAGACAGGGTTTTCTACAATCATGACTTGAGTACAAAAACAAAACTTGCAGTATACCGAGCAATTATAATCCCCACCATGATATATGGGAGCGAAACCTGGGTGCCTTACCGCCGACACATGAACGCATTGAACAAGTTGCAACAGAGACACCTTAGACAACTCTTAAGAGTCCGGTGGTTCCATCATGTCTCAAACGTATCGGTCCTTGAAAAATCTAACTGCGAGAGTATTGAAGTCATGGTCACAAAATCCCGCTTAAGATGGGCTGGTCACGTATGCAGAATGCAAGAAAACCGCATACCAAAATCTCTGCTTTACGGTGAGCTTGTGGACGGTAAGAGGAGGCCGGGTGGACAACTGAAAAGATACAAGGACATTTTCCACGAAAATTTAAAGGGAATTAACATGCAGAATGAGTGGGAAAAAGCAGCTCACAATAGAACTCAATGGAGAAGGGTTGTAAACTCAGTTAACAGCGGCAACCAAAAAGTAGAGAGGCAACAAAGCAATGAGATTTTTGAATGTCCGGAGTGCGGTAGGCAGATAACATCACGTATCGGGCTTTTCAGTCACAGAAAAGCTCATGAAAGAAAACGCCTTGCGTGACCATTTTCTTTATGTGTGTCGAATACTCGTCAGCGAGTAACGGCTGTATGTATGTATGTATGCTCCTTCCTTAGTCTTCTTATTCAAAGGCTCTAGGCCTCAATCTAACCTTATTTTGACAAGAAAAATACATTAAAACGTCAAATATGACGTATTAGTACTAAACATATCGACTGTAACTCAAGTCTGTCCAATGAGTCAAGGAAGATTTTGAAAGACGGCATCCGAAAAATGATAAAAAATATAATTTAACCATCAATTAAAATAGCAGAAAAATTAAAATAAAATTCTCTCACCCCACATTCGTGCATAAACGAAAAAAAGCGTCAAAATAGGTTAGCATTGGACCACAGGAGAAATTTAAAAAAGTCGGTATATATAATTTTTTTCGTCAAACGCACAATAAATGTAATAATACTTATAACACAATAATTACAAGACAAAACATTATATTTTTACTACCTACAAAATGGCATCTATTTAAGTGGAAAATGAGAATATAGAGTATTAAAATTATAGGTACACATAACTTATAAAAGTACATAAAACGTTTGGAACAAAATAAATATGTCGAAGTTATAGTTGAATAAAGTATTAAGTCCAGTTTAAATATTCATCTTTATTTTAATAAAGATTTCTAGGTGAAGTTCTTTACTCCACTATGTCTCATTGTAAAAAATACGAATATAATTTTCAATAAAATATTTTTGTTTAGAATTAGAAAAAAATAGTATCTTTATCAAAACATAATAGTTACACAGACTGTCTCAAAATTAATGTTATTAAATGAGCACTCTGATAATACTTATTGTTGTAATAAACTATTCTGCAAAAATTTTAAAAGCTGCAACAAATAATATCTGCGAATACAGTGTGTAGCAAAAAACTGCTTCAAAATAGTTCTTTTTATTATTAAGTCTAAAAAACTGTATGTGGAGTTAATTCAGTATAAAAAAATAATTTTCACATACACTAGCCTTGGTCACTACTTCATCTGCGTGGTCTGTATTTTAATGCGTGCGACAGAGATAAATATAAATGACCGGTTGACAGACAGAGAGACAAAGTAAAAAAGCGGCATACAGTGTTGCCGGTTTTTATGTTTGTAGAAAAATGTGTGTAGAAAAAAAAACTATTTTAAAAACTTTCATGTATACTATTGAAATGAAGATAATATATCTAAGCTAAATGTAATCTATGACAGCTGTAGTAAAATGAGTAACTAATTGTGTTCCAACCCTAGATGCAACATTTTTCATAACACCTATTTATGCGGTTTGAAATTTTGATGCAAATTCCGGCAATACCGCATAGAAAAAATGTCTCAACCCAACTTTTATATCTTTCTTTTCATTATTTTTTATATTCCATTAAGCTGTCGACATCACTGTCTTACACGATAAAATCGTGATCGGTATCGATGACCAGATCAGTATGATGTGGTAGCTGTCAAAGCGGCATGTTTCAAAGATCTACTATTTATGTGCAAAAAGTCAGATTAGAAAACAAAATCTCCAAAAATGACAACGAGAAAATTGTTCGAAAATTTGATTTTACGTCAAAAACTTGGTGAAAATCCGTAAAAATTTAAGAAAATGTAGTAGCAAAAAATAAAAAAAATATTCTTATGTATAACACTGTAACCTAATGTAAATGGGCCTGATAAACTCAAAACACCAATCAGAATTGAGCTAGCATGTCTCATAGTTTTTCTAGTCTCAAAAAACCTACCACAAGAAGTCATGATTTTCGAAAATCGCACGGAACTTAACCAAAACCGGTATAATGGGGTTTTTTTGGGTCGCTTATCATGAATCTGACGTCGGAATGGCAGAATTCGAAATGGCGGATCCAATCTGGCCCACCCGAATTTAAAAAAAAACACGGATCCGAACAAAATCAATATATGGGAGTTTTTTAGGTCGCTGATCGCGAATCTGAAGTCAAATGGGTCATTAATCGCAAATATGACGTCGGATTGGCAAAATTAAAGATGGCGGATCCCATATGGTCAACCTAAAGAACGATGTGTGTCCGATTCGAATCGGCCCCGCGCCCACATGGTAGACTATTCTTGAGGTCGGCTATATGGGATCCGCCATCTTTTGCCAATCCGACGTCACATTTGCGATCAATGACCCATTTGACCTCAGATTCACGATCAGCGACCGAAAAAACACACATATACCGATTTTGTTCGGATCCGTGCTTTTTTTAATTCTCATCGGCCATATTTGATACGCCATTTTGAATTTTGCAAATCCGACGCGACGTCAGATTCATGATCAGCGATCCAAAAAAACTTCCATACACAAACTTTTGATCCAGTCCAGACATCTTTTGAAATACGCATCTGTCATATTGGATCCGCCATTTCGAATTCTGCCAATTCGACGCCAGATTCATGATCAGCGACTCAAAAAACCCCATTATACCGGTTTTGGTTAAGATCCGTACGATTTTCGAAAATCATGACTTGTGGTAGGGTTTTTGAGGCTACTTTTTATTACTTTCTCTATGGTTTTAACCATCTACTGATGATGCTAACATGGTTAGCGATACGCGCGTCCAGTGTAAAAGTAGAAGTGTTTTAGTGTATTGTGGTGATTTAGTTTTTTATTTATCTGTGTCTCTGTGCCCTCGTCTACCAATCTCAAGGTAGTGGGTTTGAATCCCACACCCGGCATTTCATCAGCTGACTATTTTTAATAAAATAAAAATAGTTTGGGTACCTAGGTCGACTCAGCCTTAAATGAGTACTTGGGATTTACAATCCTGAGGTAATAATAGTCGGTTGAAGCGTAGTGCTAGCCACATTACCTTCCTTGTATACCGAACGGCTCTAGTATGGCAAGCTGTACCTTGCTACTCCCAAGGCGTCAAACGCTATATCCGGGAGCTATTATTATTATTATTTTGCTGTGCAACACCAAAGGTTCCAACCCCCAACTGTAATATATCGAATATGCTAAAGAAATTCCGCATAAATTTGTTTTCAAAGATTCGATAATAAAAAAATCCCATTTGTTGCGGGCTTCTTGACACACTGTCTAAATTAAAACAAGAAATCTGTAAGACTGTAAGTAACTAATTTTGAAACACCCCGTACAAGTAATAATAAATACGGTTTACATATTTGACAATGAATGTATAAATTCTTCCATGAAGGGATTTGAACCCAGCCTCTGAATTTCTTGCAAAGCCTGAGATTCTAAATCTTTTAGAGTTTGTTTGGTATACTCGAAACTACCAAATTTTTCCAGCAAACTTACACAGTACCTTTTCACCTCACTATCTTTGCTCCTCTGCCTCAAAATATCTAAGATTCTGTTAAGAATACTACATAATTCAATTACAATTTTCGCTAACTTATTATTCTATATATTACGATTTACTTAAACTTATGACTCTGACTTCTTCAATTATCACGTAAATTACTACTACAGATCATGTACAGGGTGGGTCAAATTGGAATGGAAACACCCTTTTCTATAGGAGATAGACGAAAACTAATATCGGTGTCTGGAGCTCAATTTTCATCAAAAACATGATGGTGAAAACCGCACATCAATATCTGTTACCGTTTCGGAGGTAACTTTTTTGCTATGGAAAATTTTGTATTTCTATGAAAACATTTCCAAAGCATCTTTTTACGTAGAATTTAATGGTTTAAGTATATATTTTTTTTAATTAATAATTTAAGAGTTATCAACAAAAAAATTGATTTGGGACACCCTCTATATTTTTAATTAACTGAAAAGAATTTAAAATTACCTTTCCAAAAATATAGCACACTTGATATTTTGTTATAATTCCCTTCGAAATACAGAATTTTTAAAAGTTCGCCACTTTTAACTAGTAGGCTTTGGACCCCTTATTGATGATTTGCCCTTAATGGAACCCGAAAACATATTTTTCCAGCAAGACGATGCACCATCTCTGAACGCTGAAGTTATCAGCAAATTTTTGCAGCCAGGTATCAGATATCGATGTGCGGTTTTCACCATCATGTTTTTGACAAAAATTGAGCTCCAGACACCGATTTAGGTTTTGTCTATCTCCTATAGAAAAGGGTGTTTCCATTAAAAAAATCTTAAAAAAAAACGTCGAATTTGACCCACCCTATACAGGGTGTCCCATTTAAAAAATTTTAATATCTCCGTTTTTCCTGTCATATCATATAATCTTTCATTTTAATAGTTTGTATTTAAATTTGATTAAAATAGGTAAAAACAATGTTGGAAAATTAATTAGAAAAGAATGAAGATTTTGAAAATAAATTTATTTTAAAACAAGTCAGTGGCAATAACATTTTTCTGGTATGGACGGTACTAGTTGAAATAAATATTTTTGTACATCAAAAAAGACATCTTGATGCATAGAAAACGTGTTTCAAGTTTCAACAAGATAACGATAATAATATCAGTTATTATAAAAACAACTTTTTTTAAGTTTACCTCCCTGTATCTCAAAAGTTAAGATGTTTCTTTAGGATATATTCATATGAGGTTTTTTTCTTGGGATAGGTTCAAAAATCACCCTCTCTTAAATATTAGCATTTCAATAAGGAACACCCTGTATATTAAAATATGACTAAAACGTTATTATTAATAAAAATTAACAAAACAAGTTCTAACATTGTACAAATAAAGGACACCTGTCTAAATATTAAATTAAATTAAAAGGATACTTATTATTTGGGTATCTTCTGGGTGACTTCTTATGGCATGTATTATAGGAAAACTAAATTTCCCTTCCGTTAAATCTTCACAAAAACTTTTATGTTGCATATACTAAAAATTACATTATATGAATGGCAAAAACTAGTGTAAAATATGATTTATAAGCTTCAAATATTTCATCTACCTACATCTTTGGATTTTAAATTGATATAGTCATCCCTTATTTGAAAATACAGTCCTAAAATTGCTGCTATTTTGGTGAAGTCATCCTTATTTTCACTAAATAGTTGCATCAGTCTTATAGCTAACATAAACAAACCACCAGTTTCTAAAAATTCAGATATAAATCAGTTTAAAAATACACACAGAAAATGGAAATAAATAAAATTACAATAAAAAGTTCTTTATGAATTAAATAGTTATATAAATTGGTAATAATAAAATAATTTTAATATAGAAAAAATATTGTCATACTTCTAATGACCATCTGTTTATAGTCTTCCTCAGAAGGGCATGTAAAATTATCCCTCCAATATATTTCCATGCCTTGTCCTCTATAAAGTTCCAGAATTTGTTCTATGGCAATGGATGTTCCCTATACATAAACACAATTAGAATTCCACAAATTAATTATTTGGCACAATTTATCAGAGTATTATTTACTTAAACTTACTTCAGGGTGATTGAGTGTTTGGACTCTTTCTAAAGCAATAAAAGATGCATAATTTGCAGCGTTTATGGTACTCGCTATACCATAAATAGAGTGTGCAACAGGAATACCTCTTCGAAGTATTGAATTATCTTGAATATCATCTAATCTTTAATTAAACACTTTTATAAGTCACAATAAAAAAAAAACGCTTAATCATACATTCATAGAGTTAATATGATATCTAATTGAATAACTCAACTTACAAAAGACTAGAGTTGTGCAATATTTGTACAATATCAGTGATTAGTTGCAGTTTTTCTTCTGGTATTTTAAACCATAAATTAAAAGCTCTAGCTAATTTAACCCTAATATTCTTTCCAGGCACTTGAACAATATATACATAAGGCTCCAGTAATTTCTAAAAACATAATATTAATCGAAATATGTTTTTTTATTAAATAAATTTACCTCGTCTTGATGACTATCATTAGTTTTACTGTAAGGAACTTGATGATTTATGTCTTTTTCGTTCATCTTTGGATGAGTATTTAATTGTTGAAGTAGCGAATTAACCAAGATAATAATGCACCACCTTTTTTATCTGTTAATTTCTTAATTTTTCTATCTTATCACAAATTTATTGTTTCTAAACTACAAATATTTTCAATTTTGGCAATATAAAGTAGGGTTAATTCTAAAATCTTCATCTTTTAAAAAGTTTAGTACATTTCTTTTTCGCTGCTAGGGCTGACATGGGGCTGACCAGGGGCTGACTCGACGGTTCCTTGGTTCCTACTAATGCCGTGCCATTACCTTATATTTACTTTTTTATATATGATACAAACAGGTTTTCTAAATCTATAGTCATAAAAATAGCCGACCCAAAAAAGAAGATAAAAAATTGAATACTTAACCTAAAAAAATTTAAATTTCATAAACTACTTTAAAGACAAATGTTATTAATAAGATACAATTATTTAAATTTAACTGGAACTAACAATGATCCACAATGATCGCTATTAGAACATGAAAGCATTGCATTTCAGTAGAGACATGGAGACAAATAAAAGTGTAGATTTTGTTGATAAATATCGTAAATTAGTTCATCATTACATAGATTTAGTAAGATCTTTTATATTTTAATGTTATTTTTGATTAATATAACTAATAATTTTCAATAGTTTAATAATTGAAGTACTTTTGTAGCATGTGTATGGTGCTGCACTATTTTGGGCTGATAAAGTTGTAGCTATAACGAGCAGTCCAAGAGATTTATATTGGTTGGCTCAATGTATGTATTTACAAAAACAATATCATAGAGCAGCTTTCTTATTACAATCAAAAAAATTAGATAAGGTCTGTAGATTAGGCAAATAAAATTACTTACTTGTGTATAAGCTTTCTATTATTTTTTTATGGCTTTCATATATAAATCTATCATTTTAGACCCATATTTTGTGTACATATCTAACAGTAAAATGTTATTACGAAGCCAATGAATACGATGAAGCGCTAAAAGTAATTAATAAATGTAATATTAATGTTTTGGGTAGTGATTTTTCACCAAATCTATCTAAAATTGAAATGATATTGTTTGATAATGTTCCTGAAAATGTAAGTATCTGCAATAATTGTATAAGAATACTTATACATTACTTTTTGTTTTAGCAAGCTTTAGCAGCATTTTATTTATTAAAAGGAAAAGTTTTAGAAGGAATGGATAATCGGGGTTTAGCTGCTGACTGCTACAAAAGAGCTCTCTCATTTGATATATATTGTTTCGAAGCATTTGATTTACTAATTAAATATCAGATGCTAAGTGCCACGGAAGGTATATCATCAAGTAATTATATAAATATACATTTATTAAGATAATGATTTTTAGAACAAGAGCTTCTCCAGTCAATTCCTACAGAAAGTAATTGTTCAACTGAAGAGGCACAAGTTATTAAAGCCTTATACGAACTAAGACTTAAGAAATACCATACTCCTCAGACACAGATAATTAAAAGTACTCCTCTTATTTTTATTAGTAAGGTTAATGACACTTCGTCTAATGATGTAAAATCTTTGCCTTCAACACCAAACTTACACATCACTCCAACCTCGATTAGTACTCCAATGGTTATGAAAAACAATGAAAAGAATTTGCGCAAAAATCAGAAGCTTCAAATTGACAATCAGATGCAGGTTGATCCTTTTGAAAATGTTGCAATTTCAAGGTTTCAAGGCAGCTTAGACTTTTATGTTGCCCAAGCAGAGATGTTTTATTACAACTGTGATTATTCAAAATGTATCGGTTTAACAGAGCAAATATTGAAAAAAGATCCATATCACGATGGTTGTCTGCCATTGCATATTTCGTGTTTGGTGGAATTGAAGCAAAGTAACAGTAAGTATAAAGATTACATAGATTTATACAACTATAAAATATGCGACTTCAACGAATCAAAAAAAGAAATAATTAAAATTAAAAATTACAACTATCATACTTTTTTTTGGGGGAGATATACTTTGGTGGTGGAAGGACTTATCAGACTCCAGTATTATGGATTTCCACACATTCATTTTTATTATTTATTTCATATATCATTCTCCAGATTACAACTATCATACTTTTGTCTGTCTGGTAAGAGCTCGGGTAAAAGTACAATCTATTTTGACATTCAAAAACAGAAAAAAAAACAATCTACTTTTATAACTTATTATCCTAATACATATTTTTCATATTCTATATCATTCATCACAGGATTAATTTTACAATGAATTCTCACTTGGCAAATTTATACGGTTTAAATAAAAATATAACAAATTGCTATTTTATAATTTTGGAACATCTTTAAGTCAACAGAAAATTTACTCTAAATATGGATATACTATTAAAAACCACTATATAGTATATGTATAATACAATCAAAAAAAAAACGGCGTCAATGACAGTCGATGATAATTTTAGCGAGGCCAAGCCCTAGATGTCGTTTACTTGGCCCATACTCTTCTTTATTTTTAATGGCGCTTACTGTCTAGTTGACCTTAAGCAGGTTGTAACTAATTTATTTTTATTTTCAGTAAAAATGATTTTTAATGGTGTAGTTTAAAATTCATTTGCCTTTTGGTAATGTTTGAGATCTTAATTAGGTTTTCTATTTCCTATTTAAAGAACAGAGGGAAACATTTTTTTTTCTTTGGAATTTTATCGCGGTCTAATAAACCAGCGTTTTGTAAAAATCAATACATGCTCTTGTAGAAAATTGGACGGTCTTCAAGAAAGGTCTGATATGAATTTTTATTTAATCAATTCATTTGAGAGATATTGAACGTTAAAGTTCAACTTTAAATCGTATATGATAACTTCGACAATTGTTTATATTCTATCATGAAATAATGGCTCAAAAACATAAAATGTGATATTTTATGTTTTTCAGCCATTATTTCATGATAAAATATGATAGTTTATGTTTATGAGCCAATATTTCGTGATAAAATATAAAAAATTGTCGAAGTTATACAGGGTGCGTCTCAAAAGTGGCTCACCCCTATAACTTTTTTATTTTTTTAGATAAAAAAACGAGATTTGGTATGTTAGTATATTACATAAGTTGGAATTGATTGACGCATTCAATTGTTTTTGGTCACTTCCTCTTTCACCAGAAATGATTACAACTTTTGATTTTTAAATGGCACCCCCGGTATATTTTTACTTTATTCGATAGAAAATGATATTCTGAATAGAATGACGTACCATATGTCAACTTTTGATATTCTCGCTTAATAAAAAAATTGTATTTTAAATTTCAATCTAGAGTGCCATGGCTATGTGAAAAACACTGATTCTTAATCAAGGAGCCTTGGAAAAATAGATTTGATAGTCTAATGTTTTTAGTGTCTTGTCTTGGCCGGTTAAAAAATGCTCAAATCGTATTTTTAATCATATCTTAATTTTTTTCAAATGGAACGAGGGTGTCTCATTAGCATATTTGGAAAAAGCATTTTTACGAATAATTTGATACCACACACTTGGTATTTTGAGTCAAATTTTTGTTACGAACCGCAAGTTATAACTTCTGTTTCTGTTTTTCAAGTTAACGTCTCCTTTTTGCTGCCAGGGCTAATCTGGACGGGACCTACTTTACGCGGAATTCCAACTGCGGTCGTCGGCCATATCATGGTAAATGGCCTACCGACTGGCAAGTGTCTAAATCGACTCTTACTCACGAGATATCCGATCTCATCCGGCCTCGAACCGGCGTGAATGAGCAATGTGTGTCAATAGATTTTACACTTTTGCCTTTGGACAACAGCACGATACAAAGTTTCGAACCGCTCACCCGTCCATCCACCAGTATCGCCTTACGTCGCTTAACTTCGGTGTTCTAATGGGAACCGGTGTTTCGACGTAGTTGGACCGTCGCCCTAAGTTATAACTTTAAATAATCCATATGCGAAAAAGTTGACATATGACATGTCATTATTTTCAGAGTGTTATTTTCTATCGAATAAAGTAAAAAAATTCCGAGGGTGCCATTTAAAAATCAAAAGTTGTAGTCATTTCCGGTGAAACAGGAAGTGACCGAAAACAATTGAATACGTCAATCAATCCTAATTTATGTCATATGCTAACATACCAAATCTCGTTTTTTTTTAATAACAAAGTTATAGGGGTGAGCCACTTTTGAGACGCACCCGGTATAAGATTTGAAGTTGATTTTAACCTTCAATAGCTCTCAAATTTGAATCTTTCTTTAAATGAAAATTCATATCAGATTTTTCTTAAAGACCGTACAATTTCCTACAAGAATATGTATTGACTTTTACAAAACGCTGATTTGTTTGAACGCAATAAAATTCCAAAGAAAAAAAATTGGTTTCCCGTGTCATTTAAATTGGGAATAGAAAATCACGATGAGACACTTCTTAATATTAATATTAAAGTCTCAAATTTTACCAATTTGTTTTCATCATTCTGAAAGACATTATCACGGTAACCAAAAAGAAAAAAAAAGAATTATTTTTTTGTGCATCATACTGTACATATATAAAAAATATTTTTTAAAATGTGTGTCGTTATTGTCTGCATATTTTACAAAAAAGATTGGAATGAAATTCTCAAAGATTTTTTTCAAAACACCGCCTCTCACCCGGTATAGCTATTAAATAATGTTTTCAGAACTCTTTTCATTGGCTCATACACTGATCGACCTGTATCCGAACCTTGCCATTTCATGGTTTGCTGTTGGCTGTTACTACTATATAAATGGTAAGTTTACAGCTGTATTTATTATGGGTGATTGTCCATAAAGTTTATTTTGGTTGTAGGCACAAGCGATAATGCAAGAAGATATTTAGCCAAAGCCACTTGTCTGGATCGGCTTTTTGGTCCAGCCTGGCTAGCATACGGTCACTCTTTTGCTATTGAAAGTGAGCATGACCAAGCTATGGCGGCTTATTTCAAAGCGTCTCAACTTATGAAAGGGTATGTAACAAACATATTTAACTTATATTGATTTTTATTATTTTTTTATTATTTAAGCAGGTATTTGCGCGATTTTTTTGTTGTTATATCTTGATCTCGCAAATATTTGTAATTAGTGAAAGAAATAGGCTTCAAATATATTAGTTTTAAGATTTGTTCAAAATAAAATTTGGGGTATTGTATAAAATTTTCAAAATAATTCTGTTATTTCATTATTCTTTAATACTTTAGAACTAGGATTAAAGCTATGGATTATAGAATTATTATATTAATTAATTAATTAATATTAATATCTATTAATATTATTCAATAATATTATTAAGTAAAATTATTATAAAATAAAAAAAATAATATCCATGAATCATCTGTTTGTAAGAATTTTTTAATATAGGCTTGGTGCCTTCTCCGCCGGTGCTGCCACTATCGGAGAATATCGTAAACAACTGGTATATACAAATAAACGGGTTTAAATAGCGAATATACGAAAAATTTATTATATAATTATTCTAAAAGTGTTTGGAAGTATAATTTGTGAAAATTCTAAAAATATAAATATATATATAAAGCGGGGGTCCTACAGATTCTGCCGCATCCCGCATTTCGACCTCCATATTGCTCGATTTTGCCATTCTTCCTGTTTAATAGCTCTGTCTCTCATGTACTGGTCTACTCCATCTAACCACGTAGTTGTAGGTCTTCCTCTTTTCCTTCTGCTTTGGGGACGATATTCCATTGCCCTTTTTGGCCATCTTTCCCCTCCCATTCTTTTTACGTGCCCATACCATAGTAGCTGTCTCGATTCGATGTTGTCGGTGCTGGTATATATTCTCCTTGTTCTTTGCCTGCTCTCCTCATTTCTAATGTGCTTCATCCTTGATATTCGACATGCTCTTCTGAGAAAGTCCATCTCCACTGACACGACCGTCCTTCTTTCTTTTGCTGTAAATTGCCAGCATTCGGCACCGTATGTTAAAATTGGCTCTACGATTGCTTTGTAAATCCTTAGCTTTGTTTGGATAGATGTTTTATTTGACCACAGGAGAGGGTTTAAAAGACCGATTACTTTCTTACCTTGTTGACCTCTGCTATGTATATCTTTCTTGGAGTTCCTTTCTTCAGATATAATATATATAAGTATAATAAAAATTAATAAAGTAAGTAAAATAAGATATAATAATATAAGGATCTTCAGTTTGTTCTTCTCCTACTTTCAGGTATTCAGTTTTTGTGAGGTTGATATTGAGTCTCCATCTATCGTATTCTTCGTCAAGTTTCCTGAACATATAGTCGGCATCCTCCTCACAACCTGCAACAATAACTTGGTCGTCTGCAAAGAACAAGGTCGATAGACAGTGGTTGTCAATCTCTATTCCCATAGCTCTACTCTTCCTTCTCCAGTTTTTCAATGCCTCCTAGATATATATTTTAAATAAGGTAGGTGATAAACTGCACCCCTGTCTGAGTCCTTTTGATGTCAGGAATTATTCCGATAGGAACTTCCCCTGTCTGATCATACTTTTTGGATTTTTGTACATATTCTTGCATTTATATATGTTTTACTCACATTTGTCTCAACCAAGATTTCAAATAATTTCTTCAAAGGCACCGTGTCATAGGCTTTCTCTAAATCTATAAATACCAGATGCGTGTCCAAATTTCGAGCTCTCCTTTTTTCAATTATTTGTTGTAACACAAATATGTTGTCTGTACAAGAACGCCCAGCGCGGAAACCACCTTGTTCTTCTATTTCTTCAAAGCTCTCTTCTACTCTCTCTTTTAATATCCTGCCGTACAACCTTCCCATTGAGCTTGTCAAACTAATGCCTCTGTAGTTGCTACATCTTTTTTTGTCTCCTTTCTTAAAAATAGAGCTGATGTACGCCAGATTCCAGTCTTCAGGAATGTTGTCGTTTTTTTATCAGGCATCTGTTGAAGATATCAGCTAGTATTTCCAATAATATATCGGGTCCCTGCTTTATTAGCTCAATGAAAATGTTTCCCGGCCCTGCAGCCTTTCCATTTTTTGAGTTCTTCAATGCTTTCTTTATCTCGTTTACACTTATTTCATTTACATCTATATTTTTTGCGTTTTTCAAATCTGGCACTTCTAGTTTGAATTCTGTCCTGTTTTCTGTCAGTAACTGTTTGTAATGGTCTTCCCACTTTTCCATGCTTATAAGTTCTAATTTACTGTTTTGATTTCCGTCTCTTCTAAGGTTCCTTATTGTCTTCCACGCTTCTGACACTCTTGTACCTCATATATCTTTCCACTCTCTCACATTTGGTTTCCCACATTTTGTTTTTGCTTTTAGATACTTCGCGTTTAACCATTCTATTTAATCTTGCATATTCTTCTCTGTCCTGGTCGTTGTGGGTACTAAGTCATTTCTGGTAGGATCGTTTTTTTCTTCTATAAGTTTTTTTAAGTTTTCAGACCACCATTCTGGTTTTTCCGTCGTTTGCTTATCTTGTTGCCCTAACGCTTCCTCAGCTGCTTCGTGAATGCATTGTTTTGTTTGTTCATACAACGTTTCAGCGTTTACGTTGTCCCTTCTTATATATGCTAGTTTATTGGCTAGTCTTAGTTTGTACAGAAATTGTGTCGACTCTTGCATAAAACTTTCTAAATTGTATTTTTTTGTTTCTACTTGTACGTATCTGTCGTGTATAGTTCTATCTACTACAGTGTACATCTTTCTGTACTCTACTACTATTTTTGATACCACCAAATGATGGTCCGATCCACATTCTGCTCCACGGTAAGCCCTTACGTCAATGGTTTTTAATTTTGAGTTTTGTCGCTGTATCAGATAATCAATTATGGAGCGTAGCTGGCGAGTTGGTTGAGTCCACGTAAACTTATGAATATCTCTATGAGGCAAGAAGCCGTTCATAATTTTTAAATTTAGGCTTTCGCACATGCCTCTTAGCCTGAGACCATTATCGTTGGTTGACCTCTCTCCGTACTGCCCCTCCACTGAGCTATTGGTTTCTCTTCCCGTTCTTGAGTTGAAGTCTCCCAGTAAGAATAGTTCTTTGTCATGTTTTTTTTTGAAATATAAATAAAAATAGTAAATATTTTGATATCTTCAGAAGGTCAAACTTTTATTTCAGCTAAAAAAATTTTTTAGATGAGTTCAATTATTACGGTAGCAAGCAGTTTTAATCACCGGTTTTGCAAGTGGGGTCATAATTGAGGGTATTTCGGCTAGAACGAAATTTTTTAAAGGTATATAATTATAATTTTAGAAGATGTTCATAAAACATTTAGTCATTAGTTGATTAAAAAAAAGTATACCCTTAATATTGCAAATTATATTTTATCCTCTCCTAGTATGTCTGTTTAATTTTTTGATTATGTAACGAGCACTTTGTTCACTCACTTGTTTAGTCGAACTGCTTGAATCCAGTTTTGCTTTTGATCAGATCGGTGTGAGAAACTATGAAGGTATAAAATGTTGTTTTGGGAGAGTTGAATATTCGGGAAAGTTAAGTTATTGAATATTATTGCACCCAACAACGCCTGAATTACGCCCTCCTTTACGCGTTAACATCTTTTCGACAATTTTATTAACATTTGAATTTGTCACAACACAACACGACGCCTAATTCGAATTCTTTTTCACTTATTTTTTACTACCCGTAACAGCGTTACATCCATAGAGTTAAAAATTGTTACATCACACAAACCTCGTACATAGTGTTTTATAGTCTCAATAACTGCACTAGCAAAAAAATAGCGCCGGGAGGCACGTATAGCCGCCCATACTAAAATATGTTAATAAAAAGTTGGTAGGCAGTTCTTTTAGTTTCAAAGTAAAGGAATTTTTTCAATTTTTTTTTTCTCAAAAACTGCGACTTTGACTGATTTTGATGTTATTACAAATTTTGTTGCAAATATTATTCCTAATCTTAAATTGAAAACCGCGTTTCGCTAGCTACTGTAATTAGTTACGATTTTCTAAAATTTTTAACTCCTCCCATACCCCCTTACCAACCCCCCACCCCCTCCAAAAACTAATGGCCAGATTCTCGGGTGCCACAGTATTTTTGTGCCAAATTTGGTTAAAATCGGTTTAGCGGTTTTTGATTTATCGTGTTACAGAGAGGTAGACAGACAGACACCATGAAAATATTTTGTATTTAGGTCATTTATGACCCAAGTAACTCATTTTGAGTGAAATTAAAAAAAAACTTTTTGTCGCTCTTAATAGCTTACCATACCTATTGGTATGGTCGGCTAAAAAACAAAAATTCTTAAATATTATGACAAAGCCACGATTTCAATATTATTTTAATGCGATCAACATGAACTGTAACCGGGACGGTGTGAAATACGTAGCGAAAATTTCTGATTTCTGCCGATACAGCACCGCAGTCGGATTATTTTGAAATCAACTGAAATGCACCAAGCCTATAAAGTCTATTCAGCCAGTGAATGGATAATTTTGACAGACGACATCTAAAAGATGACTCAAAATAAAAATATCCTTGTGAATTAAGATGACAGATAGCAACTGTCGCTCTCATATATTCTATCCTGTGACAGACTGTAGTTATTACGTTGCTACATTATCTTTTTTAGCTGCCATTTGCCATTATTGTATATTGGACTTGAATGTGGATTGACAAATAACGTTAGACTAGCAGAGAAGTTTTTCCAGCAAGCCCAAAATATTGCTCCTGAAGATCCCTTTATTATGCACGAAAAGGGGGTTATTTGTTTCCAAAATCAAGAGTAAGTTTACTTGTGAAACTATGAAATAACTACGAAACAAGAATCATTTTCAAAATATTTTTAGGGAAAATTAGTTTTTCTAATTAGTGAAACATATTTTTTAGTTTTGAGTCGGCAGAAAAACATTTTAATGAAGCTCTAGAAAAAATAAACAAAATCAAAAAGGGTCCTATACCTCCAACTTGGGCTCCATTATTAAATAATTTGGGTCACACATGCAGAAAATTAAAGAAATATGAAGAAGCGTTAGATTTCCATAGTCAGGTATGTGAACTATTAATTTATATTGAAACATTTCAAAGAATCAAAAAGTAAATAAATGAATAACTTAACGCAATATCAAGGAGAGTATGTTTAATTTCAAAATCTATATTGAATAAACATGTTCAGCTTTTTGCATTGAATTAAAAATACAAGAGAAAGAGAATATCAACAAAATTACGCAGACTATAAAGTTATTTTACTATGGCTGACTTGAATTTCCGTTTATCAGTGGCGTTCAATTTTTAATTCGTAAATCGACTAGGTGTTTAATGAATAGGTGTTATCACATGTAGCTCCCCTAACTAGAATATGAATATAAAAACTAATATTTGATTCTCCCTCTATTTCCTTATTTTTTTTTTATTTAATGGCTCGTTGAAACGCCTTGTTTACTGCATTTGAAACAAGCAAAAAATGTTGATTCTGTTATGTCGGGTCCAGACCAAGGCGACAAAAAGTTTACAATACCATTTTGAGACAAAAACAAGACACACTTGCGACAAAAAATGGGGAATTCTGACAAGACAAACTTGAGACAAATTGTCCACACCGCAAGGACAAAAGTACAGCAAAGTTAAAAGTTTAGTTGTTGTGAATGAGTTTTATTAACCATGTGGGATTTCACTGGTCTCGTGCTGGTCTCCTACTGTTGACAGCACACGTCATCCACACTGCACCGACAACTTGTCGTAAAATATACGAACAAAATATAGACACTTTGATCTTTACCGACTCGAAACGGAACATTGAAAAGTCTCCGAATTTTGAAACAAAACAAAAATGAGACAAAAATGTCGTAGAAATGTATTGGATTTGTCGCAATTTTGTTGTAAAACAAGAATGTTTCTGTCTTGTCGTTGTTTTGTCTGCTTGGTCTGGTCGCGGCATTAGGCCCGTATTTATAGTTGCGTTTCAAACTGGGTCTCCGAAAAGACCGACAAAAATAACAGGCTTACTAGGCGCGTGTATACGGGCGACGAAACGTAAGCTTGTTATTCTTGTCGGTCTTTTGCATCTCGTGACTGGAGTCATGTTTTGAGACTGGACTATAAATACGGGCCTTAGGTATTTTATCTCATTTAGGCACTTCTATTACAACCGCAATCGGCCAGTACATTTTCGGCCATAGCCTACGTGCATGTCCTAATGGAAAATTATGACGAAGCCGTCGACTGGTTTCATAAAGCTTTGGGCTTGAAAAGGGATGACACGTTCAGCACTACGATGCTGAATTATGTAATAGAACAGTGGGCAGACAGACAACCTTTTGCAGGTAAGATTAAAAATCGGTGCATTGTCCGCCGGTGCTGCCGCCATCGGAGAATATCGTAAACAATCGGCATATTCAAATACACGGGTTTAAATAGCGAGTATACAAAAAATTTATTATACACTAACCTGCACGAGAAACGGTCACCTTAAAATTTTGATGTATTATTACATAAAAACTTCGTTATTTCAAATACATCACTGTATTTTTTGAAATAACTCGAAGCAGATTCAAATGCTCTTTCATACTACAGGGTGGTCCGAACTGTATTCCGGAAACTTCGGCAGCATATTCTGCAGATAAAAATAAGTAAAAAAGTTCGTATAAATGTATGTCCTAAAATGCTTAGTTTCTGACATACAGAGTGTAGAAGTTTCATTTTTATTTCGATTTTTTTCAAATAATTTCTGAAGTAACGTCAATATTTGGATGAAAATTGGTGCCTGCGAGTTTTTTGACATGAGAACTTTGATTTTGATGTCAATATGACTCCTACTTGTAGAGGGCGCCACCTACATATTTTTTAACTGGTTTGAAGAGTAATACCTTTTCGTTTGTACCTGTATAAAACTGCTGAGTAAAAAATATGCATTTACGACGTTAAAAAAGGTCTCTTGGTGAAAATCGCTAGGAGTAATGGTTTTCGTGATATTTGGAATCGAAATTATCTAGACCTATCATCATTGACATAAATTAAACATGTTGACTAAATAGTTATTTAGACTGAAATCATAAATTTGAAATGTTTTTGCGCCAAAGTTCAACAGAAACTGTTTTATCATCATTTTTTCGAAAAAAAGGACATACATTTATACGAACTTTTTTATTTATTTTTATCTGCAGAATATGCTGCCGAAGTTTCCAGAATACAGAATACCACCCTGTATATTAGGGTTTCCTATACCTAACTAGCACAGATTTTGAATAAAGATCAATTTTTCAATTAAATGACAACCAAGAGGGCTAGTGTCGTCATGGCAAGTTTCTAGTGACAGTAGCTATTTTCAAAATCGAAATTAGTTTATGGACTTATTTAAATTTATACCAGTTTATTTTTATTTAATTTACCTACAATAGTTTAATAAATAATATTTATTAAATATGTATTTATTATTCTATAAAGAAAAACGAAGAAGTAGTTCTTTGGTTTATTTTACGATGACTTGTAGATATATGGATTTTCTATAAAAGAGCCAATTATGGCAAATTCATTTTCTTCACTTTCATCGACAGGTTTCTGGCTAATACGTTTTTTAGAAACCACACTACCAGCTCTGCGAAATAGGACAAGTAGTTTTTTTCATCAGGAAGAGCCCTTGAGGCCAAGAAGCAATTATTATTATTTTTCTTAATAAAATAATGAATACTTACTTATTAAACTATTGGAGGTAAATTTAAGTAAACTGTTATAAATTATAAATAATAATGTCCATAAACTAATGTCGACTTTGAAAATAGCTACTAACTGTCACTATAAAATTGCCCTGGCGACACCAGCCATCTTGATTGCAATTTTATTTAAAAATCGCTTTTTATTCAAAATCTGAGCTAGATAGGTATAGGAAACCCTAATATAGTTTAAAAGAGCATTTGAATCTGCTTCGATTTATTTAAAAAATGCAGGGTGTTGCATTTGTAATAACGAAGTTTTTATATAAAATATATCCTTAAAACAGATCAGCAACTTTTGATAGCCCTGTATAAATTTAAGGAAGCAATACCATTTTTTAGTAAGGTTTATATCTCTACCTTTAAACTCAGCATAAGAATTAATTCTGAAAAGTAAAGTACAGGGTGTTAATAATCTCTTCTATTGTAGCATGCAAATTTAAATATCTTTAAATATCTCAAAAACTAAAGATTTTAAACATATTTAACCCTTATAATAAAAGCCTTTTTTTGGCCCAGGAATCCAAAAATGAAATAAAATACCGGGTGTTCCATAAGAAAAAATATAACTTGATATGGATCTTAGTTCTGAAACACCCTGTATATTTCAAAATAATTTTAAATTGTGCACAATGCCTCCCCACATATACCCAGGGCCAGATTTCCGCCTAGGCTTGCAAGGCCCGTGCCTAGGGGCCCAGCCACCCTAGGGGCCCCATGCAGTGAGTGGCGCGCAACTTTTATATATAAGCTCCAAATTGGCTATGACATGGGGGCCCCAAATGTGGGCCCTGGATGTCTAAGTTCGGCACTGCATATACCCATAAAATATTTTGTTTCTACATCTTTCCGTTTTCGTATAATCAACCGAGGCGAATGAGGTGCGCCAGCCTGTATAAAACTTTAAAATACATGAAAATTTTAAGGTGGCCGTTTTTCGTGCCGGTGCGGTGAGTGTATAATTATTCTGAAAGTGTTTGGAATTACAATTTATAAAAATTCTAAAAATAAAAATAAAGAAATTGATATTTTGATATCTTCAGAAGGTTTAACTTGTATTATAATTTATTATTCAAGCTAATAAAACTTAAAGAAACGCTTTATATCAGTTAATTTTGAGATGTTAGCGATTTTAACTAGAAAATGTATATCCCTGTTTTTAAAAGTGTTTTTATTAATTTTTTTTTCTAGATTGTCCTGAAGAGATACCAAAGTTCACTCCTTCCAAGTCAAGAAATGTAACAATTGAAAACAATTTGTCAAGCGTTAATACAGGCTCCAATATGTCGCTTACCAATAATGAAACTCAGGGTGAATCTGTTGAAATGAGTGTGGATATGAGTCTTGATATGTAAGGTTTATTAAATAAATACATTCAAGAAAGAATAGTATTTTACTTTCTAAGTTGTTCAGTTAAACAGAACGTATTTGATTTAAAATAAACTATTACGCCAAACTCCGGAATGACCAACAATGATTGAAATATGTGGTTGGCTAATCTCATTTTGCCAGTTTGGTTGACAATAAATTTAAGAAATTCTAGTATTTATTAACTGTTATCACTAGCGTCAAAACAAACTAAAAATTAAATAACATAATTATTTATGCTAAATTTTTTCGATAGATAATTTGTTTTAGCATCAGTACCAATAACTAATTCTAGAATCCTCTAACACAGGATTGTTATTTCAATGATTGTTGATCGCTCCATATATCTGTCACTAAGTAATTTTGTTGGTCCTTCAAAAAGTGTTTATATTATGCCCGCAAGCATACATTTTTTGTTAATTCAAAATGGATTATAGCGATTATATAATTCTATCTAATCTAATATTTATCTAATTCCGATCAACGAGTTTAAAAAAGGACAGTAAATACAATATAGATGTAGATTAAAATAACAAGCAAAAAACTGTCACTGCCGTGTCTATAATATGGTCGTGTCAGTATATAAAAAAATTGTGTATTTTACATGACTGTCCGACATACTAATATATCTATAGTCCGTTCAACCGGATAATCCGTGGCCGTAACAGTTGTATCTGTCATTTAAATCACAGGTGAATAGTATTTTATGTAATTTTTTGGATGTTGTCTGTCAAAATCTTCCCCTTACTTATTAAGGCAATTATTGCTATTCCATTGTAAATTTTATTGAAGGATCGATATCAATGACTAAAGAATACAAGGACATGTAACGCCCATATACGGGCTGCAGCAGAATTTGTTACGTTAGACGCCATCATTTGAAGCCTATGGATGAGTCACAACCTCGGCAACAGCGCTAATTTTAGCGATTTTTAATAATTTGTTGTGTGTAGTGACCTTTGTATAAACTTTATTACAATGGTGATGTGTTCAGCTTTCAAGTGTAAAAGCCGCAACGATAAGAAAAAGCCGGGAGTTGCGTTTCATAAGTAAATATACAGTTCACTCCACCTTTTTAGTCTTTTCTTATTGAATTTGGTAATTATTTTTCCGATACTATATGTACTTGATATGTGCTATACGTCGATACTAGTTTTGTATCTTTTGTTAACATTTTAATACGTTTTTTTCGCAATTAATTAGTATTATATCACCTACACCATTGGCGTAGTCAAAACATTTATCAAAAATATAAATATTTCTTCAAGCAGCTAAGTTAAGAAAAATATATGGTCTCGGCACTGTTTGGAGCCCTGGTAACAATTTGGTCTCGGGTTTATATATAAACGGTGTTATATATACTCGGTGTTAAAAATATGTAATTTTTCTTTATTGAGATTTAAAACAAAAATTCTAATCAGAAAACGGAAACTAGTCTAACTATTGATATTATTTGACAATATGCTATTAGTTATGCAGAGGTTGTTAGAGGAAGTTTATCTGGCAACACTGAGAGCAGTCTCGAATTGTCATCGGCATCGGAGTCGATTTGTGCTGCCACCATGCTCATTCTTAATCCTGCCTACACGCTTACGAATCGGCAACACTGTATGCTCCCTTTTATTTTGTGTCTATCTGTCAACCGGTCATTTGTATTATTCTCTGTCGTATCCATTAAAATCCTATACACAGTAATTGAATGACCAGATCTGTATATCCTTGTATTCTTTAGTCATTGGGCGGGATAGTTGGAGTAATAAAATTTACCATAGAAAAACACAGTAGAGGAGCATCTTTTAAATCGACATTAAAACTAAAAGATTTTTCGACTTTCATTGTCTTTATTTATTGTTGCTTACACAACGTTTCGGTCAGAAGTGTGAACTAAACTATATTCTAAAACTACTGAGCTTACTACTAGAGCCAAGCATTCACCCGTGAATTAGTTCAAGCATAAGGTTTTCCACGAAGAATACCTGCATTGGAGCATTTTATCAGTGGTTGCCATATTGTTGAAATTTCCATACTTGGATTGCTAAAGATTTTATTATTGTTAGAAATGAATACGGCCTCTTTAAATTTGCGCTTTTTCCAATGAGCTTCTTTGTGGACAACCCGGCCTTCCGACCATTCGTATTATGTAGTGGTGCTTGGACCACGCATGATCTGCAATGTCCGATTTCATTGTTTCACCTCTATGCGTATGTTTTTTATGTTCGTCAAGTCGTACATCTAGAGGACGTTTTGTCTCTCCAATATACGACTCACCGCACTCGCAAGGTACCTGGTAGATGCACTCTATTTCTTGGTTTGATGATTACGGTTTTGTTTTTGTTAGGACACTCCTTAGAGTAGTCCCAGACTTAAAAAGAGTTTTAATTTGACACTGCTTAGCTATTCGCCTGATTTTCTCCGATGTTCCTTTCACATATGGAATCGACATGAGAGAGAGAGAGAGAGAGAGAGAGAGAGAGAGAGCATCCTCCTGAGGCTGGCGCACCAATTAGTCAGACTTGCAATTGGATATAATGTTGTCTAAGGATTTTACAGAGTAACCATTCTGAAGCAAATCGGTTTTAATATTATTTAATTCAGAGATTCTTGGTCACTGCATATAGTGATTGCTCTATGACATAATATTTTAACTATACCTCTTTTGGTTGCTTCAGAATGGTTCGACTGCGAATTTAAAAATTGTCCCGTATGTATGGGTTTTCTATATACAGCAGTGGTAATTTATTATTTTTAAATCGACAATTCAAGAGCATTTTTAGAATTAGATCCCAAGCAGCATTTGGACGTCGGGACAACGTTGTGTCACGCGACCAAACGTCGGGGCGCAACGTCGGTACAACCTCGTGCCAACCCTAGTCTGCACTAGTTTGGAGAATAATTTTTGGGTCGAAACGACGTTTTATACCGACGTTGGCTAGAAGCCTAATTTAGTACAAACTGCAACGTTGTTTAAAATCCTAATTCACAGAAATACAAAACTAATATGGCGTCTGTCGTAATAAGTCGCGTTTTATCCTAAATTGGGATAATTATAGTAAAAATATTATTTTTATGATTTAGTTAGAGACATATGTCAGATGGCAGTGAAGGAAAACAAAACAAAAGTATTTAAGTGTGGAGGATGTTTGGAGATCATTATTATTGAAACATTTTAACCGACTCTGTAACTCGTTACCCAAGGCAAAAAAGTTAAACGCAAACAACTTTATTGATAAATGTATTGTTTCTACTTTGAAAAATACTAATGGGCCTTAAAATTAAAGAAGTTTTAAAAGTTTTCTTGAATTTTTTTTTAGTAAAATGAGAATAATTTATTCGCAGTCGAAAAAACTGTTTCCGCGTGTTTTTTAGGGTCAAATATTTCAAGTTAATGTATTCAAAAAGCAGGAATTGCTATTTTAGGAACGAAACATTTTCTTATTTAACAACATGGCGGCTTTCACTTTGTTGTTTTGGAGATTAAGATGGAGTAGTTCGAGTAGTCGCATACTGGACTAATAAAGTCGCAGTTCGGCCTTAACAGGTAGTATACTAGTCGCAAAATTGCCTAATTTAGTCATCCTAGAGTCTAGCTTGTGCCGCCCTCTATAATCTAAATAAACGAGGGAGTGGATAAACTATCGGTAATATATGTCGATGTATATTTAAATTTAGTTTTATATGTACCTTTCTTATGTCCCATTTTAATTAAGTTTTTTTTTTATTAAAACAAAAACAGCACTGAACTGTCTGACTGAACAGAACAATGAAGTGAAAATTTAAGATTTAAGGTTATGGTTCAATACAGTTGCAAAAAGGTAGTGACTCGACGTCCTACCAACGTAAGAATAAGGAACTCTAAACAACGTTGGAATTAGTAAACCAGACGACGTTTGCATAACGTTGGAATAGGTGCTGAAACTGACGTCGGAAAACTCTATATTGTCCAACGTTGTAGCTACGTTGTCCGAATCACCTAAAGATCACTTAAGCAAAAAAAGGTTACAAGACAACGTTTATTCGACGTCGCAGAAGCTTCTACTTTGCTGTAGTACTAGTCCAACGTCGGCACAACGTTATAAAAACGTTTAAATTTATTTTAATACCAAAGGTAGGGAGCTCACTATTTTTTGTAACTAATCCAACGTTGTGTTTAGTAAACATGTGGTCGCAAGTCGTGAAAATGCTACTTGGGATTCCCTATAAATTTGTCCTATAATCGTCTAACTGGAGGATCCCTTAGAGTGCCAGTTGTCTCTGTTATTTTAATTCATATGCAAATTGTATTTTCATTTTTTGGATGTCCTCTGTCGAAATCTTCCCTAGTCGTTCCTAGAGTCGTTGGACAAACTATATATCAAGTTAAAATGTTATCCAAACCCTGTCCTAAATTTAATCTGATGGCTATTTGAGCCTGAGAATCGTTTTCAGTCAATTTTAAAACACTGTCGAATCTTTCATTAGTGGCTGGATTGATATGGGTACGCCTTGGGAATTCCCGGTTTTTATTTATCCATAAATATTTAACCCTTTCTAAATTGGTCGACATGTTTTCGCCCAATAATTAATTAGGGTCAGCCTAGGTCCATTTCGATATTGATAGTGTTTTTAGGCAGCAAAATTACTTAGACGATTTTACGGCCCCAGCTGTAAACAAAACTAAAAAGGGTTTTCTTACTATTAAAGGGTTTCCATTAGTAATTGAAATAAATCTAATGTTCCCAACTATACAGCCAGTTTTAAATTCGATTCATAATCATTATTAGGACCTAATAACGGTAAAAGTTACGGCGCATATACAGGGTCAGTTTTAAATACGTGTAAATATTTTAGGTGTAGTATATATTTCAACCCCAGGAAACATGATTATGGCATTTTTTTACGATTTAAATCAAGTTGATTTAAATCTTTACACCCTGATTAAAATTGAAATGGATCTGAGCTCTGGATCCTAACTAATTATGAACATATTTGTGAATAAAAACTGGAAATCCCGAAATCAAGAAAATTCAACAAAATCAAAA